GTGTGCAGCCGGAGTTATTTTATCTTTATATTTATATATATATATATATATATATATATATATATATATAACATAAAAAAACTTTTTTTCTGTTGGGAAAAGAGGGATTTTTGTATTTTTTTGGAATACTTATTTTCAAAGTAATTAAAATAAGAAATTACCATAATTTAGGCAGGCCCAGAATAATATTCTGTTCTCTGAATACATTTTCAAAGTTTATTGATGAGCAGTCATGTAATCTTAGGTACAGAGAATTAAATATTGCCATTTTTTAAGTTCCTTTTCATTTCTTTGTGATTTTTCATTGACATTTGAATGATTGAATAATTTGAATGATATTTTAAAGTTTTTTAAAAATTGTTTTTTATGTAAGTATTTGTTTAGTAATTTGTTTCATTATATGAGTAACATGTAAAATTCTGTAAAGTGGTATGTTGTGTTGTTCAAGAGGAAGAAAATAGAAAATTCATATCTTAAAAACTGATTAGACCTATAATTTTCATTTAAAGTATTATTTTAAGTATTTTTGTCTTTAGGTATGAACGTCATGCTGCTGATTACATAGAGAAATTACCAAAGAATCATCACAGCTGTAAAGGTCTTGGACGAACAGAGCCAGATCCAAAGGCAGCAGTGGTTCGCCCCGATGGTGTGGAAATTCCTTTGGGCAAGGGTGTGCCTGTAAAGAAAGGCAATAATCTTTCCCTTTATTACAATGAGTATCCTTTTATATTGGTTAAGACATTTCTTTTTCATAATCTTTGTTATATTATTAATTTCATGTGTATTTTCTTCACACATCACATTTTCCTTCCATCTTCTTTTGTTATTGTGATTCCTAATGTAACTTAATAGCGGGCAGGCTTTTACTAACCAAAGATGTGTATGGTATCTCTGTTTCTGTTTGTATTCCTTTATATTAGAAACCATGCAACACCTTAACTTTATAAAATTTTATTTGAATTTCTTTTCTAGTTTTCTCTTCAAGAGAATGTCGTATAATCCCACATATTCTTTGAATGTTGTTTGTGTATTGGTAATATTTTTGTCTTCCTTGTATGTGTTGGGTTGGCAAAAAGTTCATTTGGTTTTTAGGTATGAAAGAAAACACAATTATTTGATACACCTCATTTCAACCAGTCGCATACTAACCATTGTTATTTACAACCGTTTGCCATCTTTCCACTGATTTCTTAATGGAATGGAATGTCTGATCATAGAATGTCTGTGGCTTATCGGCAAAAAATTGCTCCAAGATCATTTTATGGCCTCCTCATTGGTGAAGATAATTCTATTAACGGAATTTTGCATTGATTGCATAAGGTGATAGTCTGAAGGTACCAGTTCTGGTGAAGCAGGGGAATTAGGTAAAACATCCCAGCCAAGACATAACAGCTTCTGCCGGGTGGCTAACGATGTGAGGTCTGGCGTTGTTGTGCTGGAAGACAACACCCTTTTGACTAGTCAACACATTGTTTTATCCATTTTATTATTGAGCGTGAGCTTCACCTGCTGGAATTGCCCAGTCAATAGACCAGTCTCACATTCATGGGGGACAACTGTGAAGAAGAAAACAGAAAAACAAACTACTTTTATGTCCAGAAGCAAAAGAAGGAGCCATCTGAGCATTTACTTAATGGATCAGGGAAACTGAACAAAACCTAATCGAGACCGGATGCCAAAGTTCATTATTTGTTACTTAGAAAACACCCAAAGTCAGGTCTGGTGGAAAGGATAATACTAATATTTGCAGCAAGTTTCAATATTTCCTTTTTTGTGCTGAATTTTTTTGTGGAATGTTGCGAAAAAAACATGTAAACATAAAATGCATATCTGGAATAAATTAACATTAGAAGTATAAGAATTTACAACTACCAAGACTAACAAGAAGCAACGTATAAACATGAAAATGGTTTGGGGTCCCTGTTACAGAATCTTTGTTTAGTATTGTTTTTTCTTCCCAATACCAATCAGTCTGTCTACATGTAGTCAACACTTGCATCAAAACTGTTTACAGGGTTTTCTCCAAATTGGATATACTCCAATTACTCTCATCTCACCTAATACCCTGTATGTTTGAAATATTTTGAAATAATTTGGGGGGGGGGGGGTACGGGAGGTCCAATGGTATTTTCATGTTCATTAAAAACTGACCTTTGAAAAATTGTTAATGTTTTTATCTCCTTGGCTTAAGGATTTTCTGACGTGTGTGTGTGTGTGGGGGGGGTGTTTTTGTAATGAAATTCAGCTCATTTATAGTGACATTCTATCTATATGATTGATTTGTTTTAAAATTCTAGGTGACAACATTGTGCAAAAGCCAAAATGTTTGATTCACTGTTTCTTATGTTATAGCACTTAATACATGATGACGAACTGTCAAACATTTTCTAAGTGTATTTGTTTTGTAGTTACTGCATGGATTTTTCATTTTCCTTAACAATTCTTAGATACATTGTGTATGATGTTGCTCAGGTAAATATTCAGTACCTGCTGAAGATGGACTTCAAATACAAATATTAAGTTCCTAAAAGTTTGCTGTTGATGTTCACGTGTTGGTTCTCAACAATAAAGAATCGTCTCTTTTTAATGATGTACTCCGAAGTGTACTTTTCGTCTGTCCTGGTAATTTCTTTAAACAGTGTGTCAGTGTACAAAAAATGATCGTTAATTATTGTTACCATTAGGATGTGGAGTTTTCTGTGATGTAAAAATAAAGTTTTACAATGAACATCAACTGTTTATCATACTGTACTATTATGTAGTGAGTCAGGGCAGTCTCTAATCAGGAAAAATGGGAATCAAGGAAAATTCAGGTCATTTGGAATTGTGTATGAAAGAATTTTCTTAATAGTGACCAAATATTTCCTATGCATTTAGTTTTCTTATGGATTGTATAATCAAAGTATTATTTTATACTTATGCTTCATTGGAAAAGTGGCAAGCATGATAACTTGAGGAATGCCTTCATCCACACTATTTGTTCATCTAATGTTTTATGCCCTCTTTGAACATTTCGAGTATTCAGTTTATTGTTCTGAAAGTACCAAAGCACTTTCCACGTTAAAATATGTAATTGGTAAGTATGAATTCTAAATTTTGAAACTGAACAACAAAATCGTATGAAATGATTTCATGTAAAATATTTATAATTTATCTGATTAATTTCAGGGAATTTCTGTCTATGAATTAGATTTAAATGTTTCTTAATATAAATGAATCTCATAGTGACAACAAAGTATACATTTTGTATTTTTAAACAATGTTGAAAAATGTAGCGTTCAGATATGATATTTTCAAGGTATAATATCATAATATTTAGTTACCAATTGAAGCACTACCATTAGAACATTGTGCATCTCACTTGTTAAAGTGGAGTTCTGGTGGATATACACTGATATGTGATTTTATGAGCCCATTAACCCTTTGCATTCCTACTGTAAGTGTGGCTTGTTTTGCAACACTTCTTCACTGATATTTTCTCACTCAACATATAGTTTTCTTTCTTTCCTGAGCTCAACATTTATTTGCATTTTGACTGGATTTGCACAACTGTGAAGTAAACAGTTGGTAGATTTTACCTTGCTCTTCTTATAAATTTCATATTGTTAGACGGTTTATTAGGCTACTAATTTACTATACTTAAGTTGTAATAAACTAAATGGACATATTACATATCTTGTTAAGGCAGCTCAATGGTTCCAGTGCAACTATCCGAGCAGGAAATCCAAGGACACAAATTTTGTTGAGAATGAGAGGCACCATCCCTCAGAGAACATCTGAGTGCAAGCAATGATATTACATCATTTCAATTTGTAAGACAGTTTATTAGACTTAAATGGTTAGAAATGTGGTGATGTGAACTAAACTCATATTCATTGTTTCTTTTCCAAAATACTTTTTCTTTGGTAATCCAAAACTTCACCAATGCGTTGTGAGAGCCATTGTAGCAAATCAGCAGGATTTAAATAAAGACCAGGCAGGAACTCAGGTTATGAAGAATTCTGAATGCAAAGGGTTAATGTGTGAAGCTTGAAAAAGGTGTATACGAACTGAGAAATACTTGAATTTGGAAGGAATAATTTTTAATGTAATAACTCTTGTAACTTTTTCATTGTCATTCTTTTGAAGTGCGGGATATACAGCATTCAACATATTTTTGGCTATTGTATTTTGAAAATGGTGAGAACCTGATTCATCTGTAATTTATTCACTCTTTTGTTCAATTGTGTACCTTCACTGGCAATTGAAATATTGTGATCCTCATGAATTTTCCCGTTTAGATTAGCTGTTGCTAGAGTTAATTATTTCCTAAATGAGAGACAGAACTGAAGTAATTCCTTAAAAGAATACTAGCAATAAATTCCCGATTCTTTTATTAAAAAACGCTTGGATAGTGTATTCTAAAAGACGGTGAGATTCATGTTCTCCATTTAGTATCTAAATAATTTTGAAGAATTTGTACCTTTACGTTTCATATTTGTAGTGGTGTCTTGTGGTTTATAGTTTAGATCATTGTGAGTGTTTGATACAAACAAGCTTTGTGATGCCATAAAAGTGTGTGATAATATTTGTTTTGTGAATGATCCCTGTGCCTAATATCAAGGTAGGAAGTTAGACTGGTTACTTGTACCATAGAAGAAATCGAAAACATTACATCTAGTTGACGTGCTTTGTTTGCTGCACAGAATAAGTTATGTGCTGCTGTTATTTCATAAAATCTTTGCAGTATGTTGGCAAGAAATGAGTAGTTATCTGCTGTCAATCTTGAATAACCTTTTTATATTAAAACTTCAAGTAGAGTATTCTGTTGTATTTTTTCACCTTTATTTTTAAAAGTATTTCTGTCGCCTAGGAGTTTAACCACTGCCAAACATCTTTTGAAAAGCAACCAAAACTATAACGCTCTCCTGCAATTCCACAAGAAGGCGATATTTTAATGCCAAGTGTTCATGTAATTCCGCTGATTTCTCCTACCAGATGCTTCATCTAGCGCGGTATTTATGAAATGTGTCTCAAGGTCAGTCGCACTTCCTTCTGCAGTCTTCACAGTAGCATATACTTGCTGGTGGCAGTGCATTTCGCGTCTTCTCTTCTGTAACGCTAGATGTCGCCTGATCGCGACAGTATCAGACACTGCTTGATCATGTGACATCTAACAGCACGACCGAGGAAGACGAGAAATGCAGTGAAGATAGGCCATGAAAGATAGAATAATAAAAGCCTCGCTTTATACTTGTAAACATTGGGTCTCTTGTCGTAAATCTAGTTACGGTGTCATCCAATCGGAATCTTGGATGACACAATAGTGACGTGATTAGAAGACACCATAACATGATCTGTCAAAGGGCACTGAATACATCTAAGTTTAACTTCACTTTTATCTCCGTTAACGAGTTTATTGAGCAATAAGAATCCAAGGTATAGAAGAGGAACGGATAGAAATGGCCAAAAATTATGGACATCGAAGAAGAACACGAGCTCGTGGTTTCTGAGCCACAAGCGTGAGCGTGTAATTTATTAATTCCTTCAACTTTTGAAGTCATTAATCCCATAAATACCGGGCATGTTGTAACCTGGCGGGTAGCAGTGTTCCTGTAGATGAAATCCGGCCCCAAACTTCGTGTGAGCTTGTTGGGTATTCTCCTTCAAATATCGTTGTAGAGCACCGCTCCAGCTGCAACAAACTCTAAAAACCATCAGTTAAAAATTTAAGTCGACTACACCCAGTCGTCCGAACTTCCGACTGGATGACGGCAGTCCTCTATGCTTCCAGCTCGTGACGTTGCAGGGACACAATAAGCTCCCGTCGTGTTGTGTAATGAATGTAAGAGTTGATGTGAGTGTAAAGGTTGAAGGTGGGTTGAGGATTTGCCTGACAATTAAACCACAGAACAATCTACCGATCAGGGCACTCAGTCGCCAAATAAAGTGAAAGTGGAAGATGGCCAACGTTGGTGCTAACTGAGCTACCTTAGCCAATGATTTAGCATTGCAGAGAAAGTTAATGTTATGGCGAGATGGTGCGTGTATTCATGGGTGTAGCCATTGGAGAGGCAACTCCACCTATGCCCCATGGCGGCTTGTGCTTAAGTTACACGTTTACACAACTTACAGATAATCGAAAAATGTATTATACTTTATAATATACATTTCCCTTTTAATAGCAGGCAATATTAAAGATTTTGCAGCAATATCGATGTTTTTGAAGTCCTTTTGAAGCCAAAGAGCAGTATCTCCGGGGTCTGGTGCTCCCCCAATTCACGCCCTTGGCTCCGTTACTGCGTTTACGCTTTGGCCCTATGCTTCAGCATAGGGCAACCAGTCTTCAATAGATGGAGGATCTAGTCGCCGTGCGCGGCGCCCGAGGGGAACACCAATTTTCTGTTGTCTGACACTTGCTGCAACTTCATGTTGTGAATTTCGCGTGTTATTGAAAGTACACAAGTGCAATCAATTATATATAACATTGCAATGTTTTTTGTTTTTTTTTTGTCTGGAGAATTTATTTTTATTTGATGTTAGGTTTGATGAGTTCTTGGTGTTAGATTGGCCATTCTGAAAGTTCCTTTCAGTCTTTCACAGTGTGCACCTTTTCGGCACCAGCAGTGGTTACGGTCTAGATCGTTGTGAATACGAGTGTGTGGAGCAGATCATTATTGCAATATATGCCATGGTAGTGAAATTTTCGAAATTTAATTTTTGTTTGGGCCCACAGCAAAGCAAAAAAATATAATTTTATTTCATACGATGCAAGCCAGAACAATCGATTTGTAACCGGCACAGCGCCCGACCGTTGCGTCGTTTAGACCACGCCACCGGATGCCGTCCACGGCTTTCCCAGAAACACACGTGCAAGCCTCGCCTCCCTCCGTCCGTTAGCAGTTTGCAACGGACGAAACCTCCCAGAACGTTCTATCGCCAAATTCAAATGGCTAATTGTGATTGGACACTGCCATCTCCTCCCCCTAAGCGCATGAAAACTGGCGATCTAACGATGCTTCCGTCGTTAAACCGGCAATTCAGTTCTGCTGCAACCAGCGCGCGAGCCACACGTGGCCCGTGTTGGCAGGCTCCGTGTGTAATTAACATACGTAAAAGTGTTACTGTCCAACCTCGGGTTGTTCTTTCAAGTGTACGGTCTATGTAGTGTAGGTTATCTGCATTAGACCACTTGAACATTCAGTTTTCGTGCAATCTCGGGCTGCTCCCGATTAGCACGCGTAAAGTAGCATCTATTCGTGCGAAGTAGAGCTCCACCCAATTCGTGCGCTGCAACCAATTCCATCTGTGCAGTCTATGCAATGCAAGTTGGTTGCACTAGACCACTCGCACCAGGAAATTTACTAGTACTGTGCTCCAGCTATTATGTACTGTGATATTGTAACTGTGCCATGTAATCAAGTGCTAAAGTACAGTGATTATTAAATGCAGCTGTACAAGAACTTTTTTTCTGCCAATCCAGAACTCCTACATAAATCTTCCCTGAGCTATCAAAGGGTTTCGAGACTGCTGTGCTCCGCCTATCGTATCAATACAGTCCACTCAAAACGAACCAGAATTGAGCGCAGTAACCCGAACAACATGCATTGTGCATCTTCCTCCAAGGCGGTGTTTTGAACCGAGGCACCACCGCCTAACTGCGGTCTCCGAACCTCGTATTGTAAAACCTACAAGTGTTATTCATCAAATACCAACATACGTAGTATAGCTGAAAAATCTTAAGACCTTCGTGCCAAATAAGTAATATTCCATTTAAAAATGGAGTTAGTTTAAAATAAAAAGTGCTAAGAAAAGTTAAAAACTACGACTGAAAATCCTTTTGTCCTGAAACGTTCGGTGAAAATATTACCTCGACCTCTTGAATCGTTTAGAAACACTTCGAGGTGGTAGTTTTTATTGACTAACCAAATATGAGGCGCTCAGGATAATAGCAGATCCCAACAGACCTCGCATTTTCAGTTAGTAGTATGACGGTAAACTCCTATATTTCTCTCATATGCTGAAATATCAAATGAATTGGGACATAGCAAAATCCTCAAATTCCACCTTCAAAAATTTGTCCGGAGTGAAAGAACGTGAACGAAAACAAAAATTCATTTTTCTCAAAACGTTCTTTGGTTGGGATCTGCCGTTAGTATTCTGAACGCCTCGTATATTCAATGCTTTTCACTATGTAGTTTTATCATTAAATTGAATTTTCGTTTGTTACCTGTCCTTTCTTTATTTGACGAAACCTAATTGAGTAACAATTTTGTATTTACAATTATGCAATTATTCAGACATTAATAACACCTTATTGTATCATTGGTTTTATAGTGTTTTTTTAATAATATGAAAATAATACAACATAATAATAAATGTTTATCTAATAATAATATCAGGTAGACCCCTCCCCGTAAAAAAAGATCTGCTGGATCTTAATTGAGAAGAGGCTACGAGATACCATATGGATGTATGTAATGGTTCAAGACAGACGTAGGTATTATGCCACCTTCATATTCCGGGAACTTCAGGAACTTCTTTGAGAATTTCCCCAGGAGAGCGGCAGGTACTGTGACGATAAGTAAGTGCTGGAAAGTGTGAGGCAGAACCGAAAATTTAGCCATAACTTATACGAGAAAGACTGTGCTAATTTGTAGCACCGCTAGTAACTTGTAAACCCATGAATAGTATACGGAGTAATTCACCTTCTAATACACAGTTCAGTCACTAAAAAGTAAATCTAAAAAAAAGGTCATGCACATTTTTTTTGTTAAACGAGCAGTTTTCGTGTAATTTCTTCTTGAAGTTAATGCAGTTTATATAAAAAAAATATTTTCTCAAAAATCAACAAACCAACTAATCTATAATTTTTTCTTTAGTTTTGTCCCCCCACCGTTCTCGTGTCAAGCGTTGTATCAGTGATCGCTCCGCACAGTGCAGCTCAGCTGGCGCCGCCCAGTGAAGTTTCTACTCGTACTTGTTATGTTCTTGCGTCGACCACAGAGCTGTTCGCATTGCTGCGCGACGAGCAGTCAGTTCTCGACTTGGGTTAAGCCCAACTTGCTCTCAGCATTGGAAATTCGACTCGCACTCGAAAGGTATCACAGTGCTGTCTAGAGCTCAAATCACCCTCGCCCTCCCGTGTGTGTGTGCGGCGTACCTCGTCCTAGATGTCTCCGCAGCGCATCATCACTACCGCCACCATCATCAAGTCTTCCACGAGTCAACCGTCAACAGCAGGCACTAAGGTCAGACCCGACAACACGCAGTCTCAGCAACCTTCAGGTAAACGGCGCCAAACGCAAGGCTAATTGTCCCCGCTGCGAAATGAGTGTACCAGTCAAGAATAGATTTGCTCCGTTCGGGCATGAGATGGATGAAAATCATGAGGAAAATCCCCAAATTTCGATCGACCGTAATGAGTCTATGGACAAGAAAACCACTCCCCAATATTTATTCATGAAATAACAAACTACAAAGAACTTAAATTAATAGGTTAACCTCAAATATTGGAGAAACCTTTGCCACCCGAATAAAAGGAAAATCCGTTTAAACTATTCTTAACTCAATAGAAGTCTTCAGAAAACTATTCTCTTTCTCGAGCAGAATATGTGCCTGTGTCAATGTTCAGAGACCATCAGTCAATAACTTCAGTAATTCGCGGAGTGCCAGTTGACTATGAAGAGTAAATTGCTGATGAACTTAACAAGGCTAATATAAAGAATGTAAAAGTAACCCGCCTCCTAAGGTTAGAAAAATCTCCAATGCTATTATGTGAATGGCAAGTCAATCCTTGAAAAATTATTTACGAACATATTGCTCGTAACATCAATAGACTTTTCAGTGCCGCGGTGACAAGTTGAACTTCCCGAAATCGATTTTCCGCAGCAATACACAATTTTCTCTATACTATGAATATATTCTGTATATTCGTAGGCATATGAGAAAGTAATAAAAAATAGAGATAACTAGTGGTGCTACAGAATTTATCTTTCTACTTTAGTTTTCTACTAGTTTTCTAATTTCTTTCGTCTCTCCTACCGTTTCTGTCTTGCCACATACTTTTGACAGCTGTAATTCACTGCCGCCCAAACTACATTTTTAGATTTATTTCGGTTTATTACCGAAATATTACTTTAAGAGTATAAAAGAGGAGTATAACCTGGTCCACAATGAGAATTTTAATTGAAAAATTTGGAGCCTTTTTTAAGAAAATTCTATTTAAGCGTTACTGTAAATGCGAAATTTGACGTTTATTTTTACAGAAAATATTTTAGTTTTCGAAAATATTGATCGGAATTAATTTGAAACCCTTCCACTCACAAATGCAATACTGCTTACAAATTGCTATAAATGTGTATATTAACGGCATGAAAGATATTTTAAAACAGATTGCATTTGTGTAATTTTTGATGAAAGAAAACTATACAGAAAAATTAATCTTATGCTATTTCAAAGAGTACAATTAGCACTATATTCACGAAAAGTCTGAAGAAACAATTTGGAGCAGTTTTCAGAAAATGTACTCGTAACTTTTGAGTTTTCGAGAAACTTTGTATCATATTATTTAAAGCACATGTACTCGTAAATGCAATAATGTGAACAAATTACCATTAATTTAAATATTAACGACGCAAAAGACAAGTAAAAATATATTTTTGCAATTCTTGAAATAACAAAACCATTGAGCAATGTGACGTTTATGTAATCTTATAGAGTACATTTAGCATTATCCACACCAACATTCTGAAGAAAAAATTTGGAACCGTTTGTGAGAAAAACTTCGATTTTTTATTTTTTTAAATTGTACTTATTGCACGACATATTGCTCGAAAACTACTAATTAAAAAAATGTGCATGACCTTATTGAAAGAACTGATTATGAAAAGCAAATTTCATTTGAATGAAACAATTTTCATTAAAGATAAAGAAATTCACCAAGTCGTCGAATAAATTAAACTTATGCAATTTTCGAAAATTTAAAGTTAACCTTGAAAATCAGACCTTTGCCTCTTTTGAAAGTGTATTTTACTCTATTCTTAAAAGAAATTTAATGAAAACATTTGGAGCCTTTTTTGAGAAAATTTTGAAAATGTCCGGGGACTTCATGTAAAGAAGCTCCAAATTTCGTAGAAAGTTTTTCAAAATCGCAGCACCTCGAGTCGATCTAGATCGATCTAGGAATATTCATTTTGGAAAAAAAAATTACGTATGGTTTAGGCGTTAGTGGTATTCACAGACGGACGGTGAAGACGGACAGACGTTAAAAAAAAAAAAAAAAAAAAAAAAAAAAAAAAAAAAAAAAACAACAACAACAACAACAACAACAACAACAACAACAACAACAAACACTTTTTCGGAATCAGGGAACTCCAAAACGTGCAAGTTGAATTCCCGAAATTGATTTTCCGCACCATTACATAACTTTCCCTATACTATGTATATTTTTCCTTATGTACGTATATATACGGGGAAGAAAAAGGTAAAGAATTATGAATACATAACTAATGCTACAGAATGGCACAGGCTTTCTTGTATTCGTTTTCTTTATTTTTTTGGGGGGTGGGGTGGATTAGTTTATCGGGCTTGTCATATGTTCTAGTCAGCTGCGATGAATCTCTGGCCAAAGTACATTTTTTTTTTTAATTCTCAATTCTTCGGTGATACAACCGATATATTACTTAATGGCATTAAAGAAGAGGAAAACCTCGTCGTAAATGACAATTTGTATTAAAATTTGGAGCCATTTTTAAGAAAATATGGTTTAAGCGTTACTAGAAATGCGAAATTAAAACTTTTTCACAGAATTTTTTTAGTTTTCGGAAAATGTTATTTGAAGTCGTTTAAAGCAGTTTACCGGCACTTTTAAAGAAATTTACTGTTACTTAAATTACAGGGAAATGTATCCACTTTTTGAAACTAGGGTCGACTTCCGCCGCAGAACTACACTACTTTTTACTTCTTCGTGATTAAGAAGGAACTTTGTAAGAAGAGAAAGTTATGTAATGCGCGAAAAAATTGTGACTTTTCGCCAGAAGAACTTTTTTGTCAGGGGCCTGGTAACGAAAAAATGGATAAACCAGTTGATAAATTTAGAGGGGGAAATCCTCTGAGTGGTAGTGTGGTCAGAATCCATTTTTTGTGGGTCCTTGATACCGAAAAATAGATTGTTGGCAAAACGTCTGTGAACAACCCTAGCCGCTAAACCGTTCAGCCGATTTTCTACACAATTGATTTTCCACAACCGATCTGAGTGATGCCTTCACCTCTTGATTGTGAAACTGATATTTTGATTGTCGGGGGTACTTTACACAAGCCCCTAGGACACTTTCAAAATTTTTAAAAAAATAGCGCCATCGATTTTGAAAAAAATTTGTTTGAAAATAGTCTGAAAGACGATTAAGAAAATGGCGCAGGCCAAATGTTAGTTGAAAAACCTAAATTGAAAACAAAATTCTTTGTGAGCTTCCTACAACTAAAATATTAAAGATAGTGATAATTTAATAAAATCTTTTCCTTAAAGATAGATTTGAAAGTAAGCTCATGTACAATTATTCGAAAATTAGAGTATTTTTTTGCGTAATCTGGTTAATTTTAATTTTTATTTTTGCTTACTAAAATGTTCATAAAAATAGATCTTTAAATAAGGTCATGTTACTTTTTATGTATTTGTGGTGTAATTTGGAGATAAAAATAATCGCCCGCACCGAATTTACTGTGCTTCGTGGACGTAATTCCTGACATTTGGATGCTTCGTAAGTTAGAATTTGTATATTATTTCATATTTCTTTGTAATTTCTTACATTCGACCTTTTTTTATACTTTTACACATTAATCTTTTAGAAATTATTTAAAACCTATTTGAAATACTGCTAGATTCAAGAGAATATTAGATTGGAATGCTACATGACTCGATAACAATGACTCGGGAGCTCGTTTTTGTGAATTACGTCTTATTGTTGGGGTATGATTTACCTGTATGAAAAGCAATTACAATTGTCAAATTTGTGTTTATATTTGCTTGAAAAGTTTTAGTTTTTGTATCAAATGTACGATTTGTAATGAGCAGGGTTGGGCAGTATTTAAAAACTTGCATTTGAAATACGTATTTTAAATACGCTCATATGTTCATCCACATCAGTTGAATGACTGTTTTCCTTCGCAGGTTTTATAATTCGCCAACTAGGGGTTTATTGCCTGATGAATTTTGTGAAAAATCAGCTGTTTTAAAAGGAAATTCCATTTCTTTGTGTTAGACAAATTTTTGATATTTTATGTTTGAAATGTTTACACATATGGTTAAAATACATTGTAACAGTTATTGTTCAGAAATTTGTTGCACTGCCAATTACTAATTTACTGCAATTGACAATATATTATTGCAATAAAAATATATAATACAAAATTATTGTATATGTACAGTATTTTGAGTACAATGTTCTTCCTGAAATTAATTCTTAAATCTTGAAAAATTGTAAACGTAAAAACTCTTCTGTAATATGACGCACCATAGTTGGTCCGAAGGCAGGCGATTGCGCGTGGTTTAGAGGATCGGGGCGGAAACGCGAAAGTCGGCAACACCGTGCGCGTGGCGCGCTTCATTCCAATTGAGCGACATTGGCGTGCTGGGAGTAATTGAAAGATCCCCGCTCCTAGAAAAGCTTACCTTTGATATTAACCGGATTTTCAGCATGAAATTTTATGGATGTAATAAAAATATAAATTGTGATGGATAGAAATTAGAATGTAGAAACAGTTTAGAATTTTGGCACCTTTCGAAAAATCAGGCTTTTCAATGAAACTGAGACTGCACCATTCGCATAAATGTCCTTCATACTATCAAACAACAAAATTTAATCAAACATATTGGAGTTATTTTTGTTGTTGTTGTTTTTGAAAATGTCCCAGGGACTTAATATAAAGAAAAGAAATAGTTAATAGTCCAAATGATGAAACAATCATTCATTTTTATAATTTATTTAAAAAATCGTATTACATAACTAGTATAAAAAGTATTACTCGTGACTTACCGAAATATAAAAGAGGAGAAGGTAATATTAATATTAAAGGGAATTAAGAAATGTTAATATTAAAGAATAGAAAGTACATGCTTTTTTAGCACCACTAGTTTTAAATACTTCTCACGTTAATATCTATATTACGCGCCTTATACATTATTAAATTTGTTAGTACAGATGCATCAAATAACTTGATGAAGTTTCTCGAAGGCTCAAAAGGGTTCTGTAGAAATGAACTCAAAATTGCATATTTTCAGAAATGCTGAA